AAAACAACATTGTAATGGCCTAGATGGCATAACAAGGAGACACGAAACATCTGTCACAGATTTCTGTGACCTTACAGTACAGAAAAACAACCTGAATAACGAATGAACTATGCTGATCTGGGATGTAAAAAGTCACTATGAATTTAAACTTAGCCAAGTTTCAGGGTCATTTATCTAGGCCAAATAGCAGCGGCTGATATCTGTTCATCAGCATCTGTGTTTATGAACAGCTGACATCACAGTGAGATCCAACAGGATCATGTTATTAGTTGATAGTAGGAATACTTCGGGGTGACACTTTATTTCGATGGTCCACTTTAGGCATCGTACTAACTATATGTAACTTTGCAACTAAAATACCAGTCATTAGAGTATTAATAAACGGTCTGCTTAATATTTGTTAAAATTTTATTTTGATGCTCCCCCAAGGCCCAACAGACATTCTAGTGATCATAAGGGGCTGTTTACACCAGGCCAGGAGTAAATGGATTCGATTTGATAAATCAGACACTTAGCAAGTACAACTTATTCTACTAGCCCGAACACCTAAACCTAACCTAACATTCGAGAGTTAGTTGAAATTCAATTGAATTTAGTTGAAATTCAGTTGCAAAGTTACTCATAGTTAGTAGAATGTCTAAAGTAGACCATTGAAATAAAGTGTAACCTACCTGGGTGTTTGCAGTGGGAAAGGTGACTCCTTCTTCTTTGAGGGACTTGATGGTGGCACTGATGAGACTCAGTTGCGGGTCTTTCTGGAATTCTTCGGCCCACTCCACCATCAGGGCCTTCAGTTTCTCACCAACCTTTGGATGAACCTGAGGGGAAGAGCATGAGGATAGTAACAATTATCAATATTTATTGTAGTACTCTGAAACCAGGATTTGCCTTAATGAATAGAATTACACTAATATTTCTACAGCAAGCTGCAGTTCCTTACCTTGTTCAACACACTGCGAACTTCACTGGCAAACTCCCGCGAGCAGATTTCTAGGTGAAAGATTTTTCCACTGTTTGAGACGCAGGCACCTAGCAACTAAACAGGGAAACACGGCAATATTTGAACAGCAATTACTTGCTTAAATTAAAGATTAACCAATTTGTGAACAGGTTTGATCGATTCATTGAAATGTTCCATACAAACAGTGATTGCACACATTTAACAAATCTTAACTGTTCATACTATAAATAATTGTCAATAAAATGTGATATCATAATTGAACATATGGATCATTTCTATAATCGTTTATACTTTAAAGGGGTGGTAAAATGCCATTTTCACAAGAAAAAGAAATAATTATTATGACAAATTCAACAACTTCCTCATCAACCCACTCCTTTCTGTTGTAATACCCATGTAATTCCCTTTTGAAAAGTTACATCCAGATGAGAAAGAATTAGAGAAGATCTTAAAATAGAGTGAGAAATCTTCGAAGGGTGCGATAACTCTGCCCACAGAGATGTCTGTCACTTCCAGATGCTTCTATCCCAGTTTAGTGTGCAGTGACTATACCCAAGCCATTCACTGATTCATTTTCCCAACAACGTCAACACCGTGACAACCCATATGACATATGTTTTCTGGACTGCATACACCCTAGTCGCTGCACCTCTGTTTTACTACAATGGGAACTGGAGATGAAGAGCTCACCGTTAACGCTTGCATTGCGACATGAGGGACCTTGTGGTTCACTCGCTTCATGACTGACCTGAGACAGTCCTTTGCACTATAAAAGAATAATACGATAATATCTGTATTAGGGAGAAACCTATATTAGAAGAACAATAATGCATTCAAGCAACTTTCATGTTACTAAAAATAAACATTAAAAAATATATATAGGCCTAGTTTCACAGACAGGGTTTAGTTTAAGCCATATTTAAAGGAGTAGTTCACTTTTAAACAAACTTTTGCTGATAATTTACTCACCCCCATGTCATCCAAGATGTCCATGTCTTTCTTTCTTCAGTTGAAAAGAAATTAAGGTTTTTGATGAAAACTTTCCAGGATTTTTCTCCATATAATGGACTTCAATGGGAACCAAACGGTTCAAGGTCCAAAAGACAGTGCAGTTTCAGTGCAGACTGCAAACTATTCAAAGGGCTTTAAACGATTCCAGACGATGAATAAGGGTCATATCAAGCGAAACGATCGCTCATTTAAAAAATAATAATAACAAAGTTTAAGCTTCATCAAAAACCTTAATTTCTTTTCGACTGAAGAAAGAATGATATGGATATCTTGGATGACATGGGGGTGAGTAATTTATCAGCAAAAGTTTTTTTTAAAGTGAACTACTCCTTTAAGCCTCGGTTCAATTAGGACATTTAAGAAGCTTTTATAAACGTAACTTAGAAAAAACATAACTGGTTTGAATTTTGAGACAAAACAATGACACTGACATATTTTAAGATATGTCCGTGCAAGTTGCTTTCAGTTAAAACAGCTCAGACATGCATTTCAGTCTGAGACTTAGGCTTAAGCCTCGTCTGTTAAACCAGGAGATAGTTATTCAAATCGTTTTTGTATGCCGATATTTCAGCTCACCCATTTGGAGTTGTCCCAACCCGGTCACAGATATCCATAATGAGGCCCCAGTCCTCTGCTGTGCTAGTTTCACTAGTTGCTTTCTCTGAAAAGGCAAATGAGACTCTCAATGAAAGGTGTCATATCAATGCTGAAATTCTTAAAGGGAGTCAAAGTCTCTGACTCTGTATGTCTAAACATCCTTTCATTTATATAAAAGAAATAAAAACAGAAAATACACAAACACAATACAAAATAGAACAATATATATATATATATATATATATATATATATATAATAAAAATGCTAGGAAGGACAAGTGTTTGTTAGGTAGTTAGAAAGTTTGAAGGGTGTTTCCTCCTGAGGAGGCAAGGCAGTCTCTCCTCAAAAAATCTGGATGAAAAAATTATCGATACTACAAGAATGCAAATATTACAAAATTTGACATTAAAAAGTGCAAGTCACTTGTTTTTATAAAGTAACAAAGTCCAACAGTGACACCCACAGGCTTGCCTCCCCTGAGCCCATTGGCTTTTAACAGACCCCCCCAAAGCGTGTGGAGGGTTTAATGGGGGTAATCGAGAATGAATGGGGGAAAATAATGTGAGAGGAGACAATGCCTATGATTGGATATGATTGGTTTACTGAGATAAATCCTGCCTCGTTTTTGTGCACGCTCTCGAATCAGCCAGGATGAAGACATTGATGGTGTTAATGAAGGTAAATTAAAAAGTAACCAAACAACTCAGCCTGCTTTATTACTGCTTTATGTCGTGCCAAAATCAAACTTAAAATGGCCTGAAAACAAGAGGACTGTAGGGTTTTTTAATGAGCAATCAGCTTGGGAAAATTAAATGTAATAAATGTATGTGTGTGACCAGTGTGTACAAGCTTGATGACCACTGAAACGAGCCTTTAGTTATTATTTTGGAATAAATATAAAAAAGCACAAGACGCTAAATTGATGAAATTTATAGACGTGGTTTTAATGAATATAACATTACGAATTTTGTAAAAATGCAAAATAGAATTATATATGGTCTCTCTTTTTATGTAATGTTTATTTAAACAGGAAAAGTAAGTGTAACAAGGACATAAATTTACATTGTGAGGACTTTGCCATCACATTTTAAAACGCACACCACTGAAGTAGGAGTATTCTGTGCATCCCGTTAAACAGACAAAGCAGCCTGTTTTGCCAGTTATTTTACATATTCAGCTTGTCACAACAGGCACAACCATTTTTCTAACCCACTAGTATAGTATAGATTATTTGTCCCCTCCTTCAGGAACAAAACTGGGAACATTTTAATGACTAACTCTTAAAGGAAAAAAAATCACATTGCGAAATCTAGCACAGTAATGCTACACCTTAAAATAAAATTAACAATACTCAAGTGCCTTACACTCATAGACAGAAGAAAAATAAATAAATAAATACCCCATGGAGGAGCATTCACAATAAAACCAAACAGTATTTTATTTCTTATTTAATTTTTTTAATGTAGAAATGTATTAATAACATAATATATAAGCAAGATAAAATACTATTTACTGTTATGTTAACATTTTTATATCGTCTTGATAATTACTTTTAGTATATTATATTATATATTGTATTATCAACCAATAGAATCATATCAAAGGATATATGATATCATGCAACAAGTTCCAGGAATTTAGAATTTTTTAAGAATTAGGTCACCTACATTATTGACGTTTGAAATCTTTATTAATTATCTGCTTTCTGATACACAATATAGAAATGTATCAGGGTAATAAAAGAAACAATCAAACAGAAAACAAATATCTTGAGAAAATGACAGTAAACAGAGCGCTGTAACGGCCCTGTTGACTTGTCAAGATCACAACACTTCGATAAAAACAACATTCAAACTCACCCACATCCTGATCGAACGGATTTTGGCCAAATAAAGGCATTTTTCGACCTTTTCCTATCTATTAAAGAATAAATTCGAGCGTATTATCTACGTAGATCGACGATTTCTCCGCTCATCCATTAAATTGCGTTCACTTCCACCAGTTGCTCTTCCGTAAACTTAGTAGGCAAAGGCAATGCCTGTCAGAAATCGCATACGTGTCATAGCGAACAACTTTCAAATCATTCTTGATTTTAAACTATATTCCGAATTCATAATAATACCAAAAAATTACCTAAATAAATAATTTATTTATTTTGCTTTTATAAATCTATTTTTCAGACAGGCATCACAATTGAGTTCTAAAGGCAAGTACGTTCTGAACTCGAGCCCGCACTGCCATCTAGCGACTGGAATAGATGTTTATGAGCTCTTTGTAATCCAAAATTTAACTCGAATATTAAAATTAGTATTATATTTATTATTGTCATCCTTACTTTTTGTTTTTGCTGTAAATGTCCGTAAATAAAGTGAATCCAAACTGTAGCAATGTAACAAACAAAACATAATTTACACTCTATCCTCGACAGGCGGCGCTCCACTCAGCACCTTCTATGTCAGCAAGGCCAAACGCCTTTAGTCACCGTCACCGGGACCCTTTGGATGAACCAGTTTTTCTAATGATAGTTCAGTCATGTCGGCACCTGCCATGGGGACCAGCAAAACAGCGCACAGTGATTCCAGTAACAAGAGGAAAAAGGGACCCGGGACGCTGGCCATCGCTTATCTGGTCATTTACAACGTGGTTATGACAGCAGGGTATGGTGAAAATCAAATGCGCTTCCGTGCTCTCTGTTCAAGCGTGTGACAGTAAGAAAGAATGAATGGTTAGCTTTCAGACAGACTCAGAGCTTGACAGAATCGCGGTTACCTCCCCTTTTAATTTATATGGAATGGTTTCAGACCGTTTGTTTTGATATTGAAATAATTCTGTTTAAATATTATTAGATTTTTGGCACCGTTAAGCCTATTAACGATTATTTAACACGCCATAGAATCTTCATGGCTGGTTGCATTAATGCACTGTTCAATTCCTACTGTCGTTGTTCTGGTCATGTATATGGAAGTACGAGTGAATTTACTGTCTTTGTTAATTTACATATACCAGTTGTACAGTTCAGGTATCAGTTGCAGCCGTTTGAATACGAGTCCACCCCGTCGTAACCCCGAAACTGTTGCACAATGGTGTCCGTTTCGGGAACGAATCGATTTGTTAGAAGTAGAACCAATTCGTTTATAAAACTCACTCGTCTGGATTTTGAGATGGGGTTACATATTGGAACCATAAAAAACAGTATTTGAAACAGTTTATATTGATAATATAATCTATATAATAATAACTGTTTATCACATTTATATTGAGTAATCAATTTTACTCGAAACAAGTACTTAAACACTTGAATAATGCCTCAAATAAATCGAAGAACCGGTTTTTCATTTATCCGAACGAGTCATCACTTGGCGTTTTGACCAATGAATTGAGTTTTTATTTTTAGTGATTACACTCATGCACACAGCAAAAATCCTTTGCAGCTGAGCATGTGTAGTAAAAAAATTACATGATTTTTATTATTTAAATCCATTTTCCAGGCCAGGGAATGACGAGCCTTTCTTCTAGTTCTTTTTATTCGAATCGAATCGTTAAATTACTCGACTGAATAGGAGAAACGATGAGACCTGATTTGCTCAAATTAATGGCACATTGGCACTTCCCAATGATATTGCATCAGCAATAACCAAACAGGGTTTGCTACATTTTTGTCATGTCTGTTGGACTCCAGAGAATTAAATCAGCAATAGCTTGATGATGCAATTCAGTCGATTCTTATCAATTAGAGACCATTTCATGATATCTCAAATGGACGATATAAACTTTGTCCTTTACTTTGTGCATTTATTATGTTCAATCTGAAAACCAAAAACAATCCAGGCCTGTTTGTTATGCTGTTTCATTTATTAGCTTTGCCTCAGTCTTAAGTCGATCTGATTTTTGGTTATAATATTTTCAGATAATGATGTGGTGCCCCTGCCAGTATTATGGTCTTGATACTGTTTTTATCATCACTTTAGCGGCACATTTTTTATTGTAACTGGAGTGTATTAAAAAGCTATTTTGAATGCATTCTACATCATGCATGTGAGTAGCTATAAATGTGCTTGATGTATTTGAATGAGACTGTTACATGGCCGTTAAGTGCTGTGTTGTAAGAGATTTGCATGCTGACCCATGTTTGTGTGCATTGCAGAAATGCCCTCTTTTCTCAAAGCAAGGGCAAGTGGCACAACAAAGTTACTCTATGAATCATTTTCTATCTAGATGGCTGGTGATTGCAGTTGGTCTTGTTCGAGCATACCTGGCCAGAGGAAGTTACCATGGTCTTTATTACTCGATAGAGAAGCCCCTGAAATTCTTTCAGACTGGTGCACTCCTTGAGGTGAGTTCTATGGGAGCTATATTAATTTACATTTTAGCTCTATTTATTTATTTGCAAGTCTAATGTGTATCAAAGTGTGTAGATAAATAAATAATAAATACTATAAAAGTATTAATACTTTTCTGACACATTAAATATAAGAGCAATAGTAAAGACTTTTACATCATGTGACTCTGGAGTAATGGCTTTTGAAAATTTTGCTTTGCCATCACAGAAATAGATTACATTATAATATATTAAAATAGAAATCAGCTGTTTTAAATGGTAATAATCTCCCACAATATTGCGGTTTTAAATAAATGCCTTGGTGAGCATAAGATGTGTTTCAAAAACAAAATAAAAATCCTACAGGCCCCTAGCTTTTGAACAGCAAAAAATACGTTCAAAAAAGGTTTCAAGTGGTTTCCCCAAATTCAACTGAAAAGACTATTTTGAGTTTTGAGTGCGTTTTGAGTTTTGTATGGAGGAGATTCGAGCTGTGCTGCTTTTGTGTGCGATTGGTTTACTAACGAGGTAACAAAACGACAGAAAAGAGACGAGCACCCAAAGCGTATTCAGAAAGCTTGTAATGCTAGATATAAAAGTAGACTTTGTTATCAGCGGACATTGACCGTGAGATGGATGGGACGAACGCACGCCATCGGGCAGAAAGAACAAGTGGTAAGAAAGAACCAATCAACATGTTCAGTGCACAAGTCCCAATTTTTACCCAGGACTTCATTTATACCTTGGTTCCTGCGGTGTAAACACACTGAGTACCACCCCAAAGTTCCTAGTTCCTGTGGAAAGTTCCTGCGGTGGAAACGCGGCTTTGGTGGCAACAGGCACTGAGGTTTCAGCTGCACAGTAAGGTGCGTATTAAACGTATGCCAGAACTCCAAGACGAACACCCAAAAGCTCAAGAAAAGTTGGCTCCAATTTATTCAAAATCAAATAAATAAGCCACAGAAGGCTTGGGATTCTGTTTGGTAGAGAGATGTAAATTTTGTATGTCTGGAGGAAGAGGAATGAAGCATATGCTGAAAAGAACACACTGTCTACAGTTAAGCATGGCGGTGACCTGGTGATGCTCTGCGGCTGCTTTGCATCCTCTGCCACTGGAAACCTGAGTGTGGATGGCAAGATGGATTCATTAAAGTATCTGGAAATCCTGGGAGAGAACATCATGCTGTTAGTGAGGTAGCTGAAGCTTAGGCGTCTTTGGACCTTCCAACAGGGCAAAGATCCCAAGCATTCCTCAAATTTCACCAAGGCTTGGTTGCTGATGAATTTCTTGAAGATTCTACAGTAGCAACCAGTTACCTGATTTGGAATTTGGGGAAACCACTTGAAACATTTTTTGTGTTAAGCTATTCCAATTTCTTTTGTTTAATTTGTTCATTGCAAACTGCTGAAAGTCTGGACATTTTTCCAATAAACCTGATTTGCAATTGGGGTTGAATCATTTCGATTACAACCATATACTCACCTAAAGGATTGTTAGGAACACCTGTTCAATTTCTCATTAATCCAATAATCCACTAATCAACCAATCACATGGCAGTTGCTTCAATACATTTAGGGGTGTGGTCCTGGTCAAGACAATCTCCTGAACTCCAAACTGAATGTCAGAATGGGAAAGAAAGGTGATTTAAGCAATTTTGAGCGTGGCATGGTTGTTGGTGCCAGACTGGCCGGTCTGAGTATTTCACAATCTTCTCAGTTACTGATTTTCACGCACAACCATTTCTAGGGTTCACAAAGAATGGTATGAAAAGGGAAAAACATCCAGTATGCGACAGTCCTGTGGGCGGAAATGCCTTGTTGATGCTAGAGGTCAGAGGAGAATGGGCCGACTGATTCAAGCTGATAGAAGAGCAACTTTGACTGAAATAACCACTCGTTACAACCGAGGTATGCAGCAAAGCATTTGTGAAGCCACAACACGCACAACCTTGAGGTGGATGGGCTACAACAGCAGAAGACCCCACCGGGTACCACTCATCTCCACTACTAATAGGAAAAAGAGGCTACAATTTGCAAGAGCTCACCAAAATTGGACGGTTGAAGACTGGAAAAATGTTGCCTGGTCTGATTAGTCTCGATTTCTGTTGAGACATTCAGATGGTAGAGTCAGAATTTGGCGTAAACAGAATGAGAACATGGATCCATCATGCCGTGTTACCACTGTGCAGGCTGGTGGTGGAGGTGTAATGATGTGGGGGATGTTCTTGGCACACTTTAAGCCCCTTAGTGCCAATTGGGCATTGTTTAAATGTCACGGCCAACCTGAGCATTGTTTCTGACCATGTCCATCCCTTTATGGCCACCATGTACCCATCCTCTGATGGCTACTTCCAGCAGGATAATGCTCCATGTCACAAAGCTTGAATCATTTTAAATTGGTTTCTTGAACAGAACAATGAGTTCACGGTACTAAAATGGCCCCCACAGTCACCAGATCTCAACCCAATAGAGCATCTTTGGGATGTGGTGCAACAGGAGCTTTGTGCACGGGATGTGCATCCCACAAATCTCCATCAACTGCAAGATGCTATCCTATCAATATAGTCCAACATTTCTAAAGAATGCTTTCAGCACCTTGTTGAATCAATGCCACGTAGAATTAAGGCAGTTCTGGCTGAAGGCGAAAGGGGGTCAAACACAGTATTAGTATGGTGTTCCTAATAATCCTTTAGGTGAGTGTGTATATAAAAATTTCAGTCCAAACCAAAATTAATGGCATTTTATTTGGCAAATGTCACATATATGTATCAAATATATGTAATTCTTCAACTCTGCAGAGTTGTTTTAGATTATCTTTATGCTAAAAATTATATTTCCTAGAGGCTGAGTGCACCTTATAATATTTGTTCTTTGCTCTCTTCACAGATATTGCATTGTGCCATGGGTAAGTGCACCAGCTGCTAAGAACAGTTTCTTATTAATTTATCCTATAAATATGCACTCAGCACAGTATATAGATCAGATTGTCTATATCAGGGAAGCTTTTTTTAACCCAGCGGTGCCATCGCCAACCAGGCTGCAGCTTTCTCTGCCAGTCTGACAGTGATAATGTGATAAAGAGTCTTGCTGCACCCGTGGAGCCTGGAGTTCACAGTCCACACCTCATTATCTGGGACTTAAAGCATAATATGACCTTTCCCAGTGCAAACAAGAAGTCCCGCAGTACTGTGTCATATCATAACCGGCCTTACTCTCTTAAAGGGATAGTTCACCCAAAAATGAAAATTCTGTCAGTGTTTACTCACCCTCATTTTGTTCCAAACCTCTATGTGTTTATTTGTTCTGCTGAACACAAAGGAAGATATTTGGACGAATGTTTTAATCAAACAGATCTCATTCCCCATTGACTTCCATAGTAGGAAAAAATACATACTGGTAGTCAATGGGGAATGAGATCTGTTTGATTAAAACATTCTTCCAAATATCTTTTGGATGAACTATCCCTTTAAATTATATTATTATAATGATTCTGATTCATCTCTGTCTTATTTTGTAGTATAATGCTTTGAAATAAAGAATAGAAACCATTTCAGCTCATCTTTGATTAGACCCACCCTGCAATTGATTAATCATTCTCTTTACTTAACATTTAAAATTTTGTGAAGGAATTGTTCCCTCCTCGGTGGTCCTGACTGGGTTTCAAGTGATGTCACGGGTGTTCCTCACCTGGGCAGTGACACACAGCGTTAGAGAAGTAAGTTTGTGTCATTTTATAATTGTTTATATACTGTTATAGTATTTATTAGTATTTTTTTCATTTTATTTCAGCTTTAATTGAATTTAAAAATATTTAGTTAACAATAACGCACATGTGCTACTAGTTCATGTGACCTCTGGTCTAACTCTAATGGGATATTATGATTAATTAGGATGATATAAGTCTATTTAGGATTCCCATGGTTATGGAAATTCAGTATCAAGTAATCAACTGCCATAAATATATCAAATTGCTCTTTATCTTTAATGTTTCCTGTGCCATATTGAGCAATATTTCCATGTTTATTCTTGTTTGCTCTCGTCTACTGCCGTCTAGTGGATTTAATGGATTTCAACAGCTGTTTTAATATTTCAATGCTCATCTAGAGCTAAATTTTGAATTTTAGTGTGAAGAAAACAACGTTATTTATTGTATTCACCTTTAAAGTTCCTTGTAACTAAGAATCAGGTTTTGATTGTCTATCCCAGAGAAAGACGTCTGAGCTGAAGTGTATAGGTCTGTAAGTTACTCCTATGAGTAGACTGCTTGACCCAAAACTAATATGTAAAGTGTCCATGTGTGCCTGTGTACGCATCTGTTGCTAAAATAACCTCCTTTCAAGCCTGTTTGTGTGTAGAGGCGATGTTGGAGCCTTTGACAGGCCTGAATGCGTTTTGAAGTGCTTCCGTTTCTGATGTCCTAAGTAGTCTTTCTTTGTGTGTCAAGTAGCCAGAGTGAATTGCGATGAAATGGTAGCAGACATAACTGCATGGTTCTTGATTACATTTTGCGGCTTGCTGAGAAGATATGTCACTTCCCCTTGTGACTTAAAGGAGTAGTTCACTTTAAAAAAAAACTTTTGCTGATAATTTACTCACCCCCATGTCATCCAAGATGTTCTTTCTTTCTTCAGTCGAAAATAAATTAAGGTTTTTCATGAAAACATTCCAGGATTTTTCTCCATATAATGGGCTTCAATGGGAACCAAACAGTTCAAGGTCCAAATGAGAGTTTCAGTGCAGCTTCAAAGTGCTTTAAACGACACCAGACGATGAATAAGGGTCTTATCTAGCAAAACGATCACCCATTTAAAAAGTAAATAAAGTTTAATTTTTATAAGCACAAATGCTCGCTTTGCTCTGTTCTGTGATGAGCGTTCGTGACTCTCCTGTTCGAACTCGTTCATCAAAATGAACAAATCTTTTTTCGAGTCGATCTTTTTTCGTTTGGTTCCCAATGAAGTCCATTATATGGAGAAAATCCTGGAACCTTAATTTCTTTTCAACTGAAGAAAGAAAGACCTGGACATCTTGGATGACATGGGGGTGAGTAAATTATCAGCAAAAGTTGTTTTTAAAAAAAAAAAAGTGAACTACTCCTTTAAAGCTTGCTCTTGTTTTAGGTCCAAAGCGAAGACAGTGTTCTCCTTTTTGTGGTGGCCTGGACGGTCACGGAGATCATCCGTTACTCTTTCTACACCTTCAGCCTGCTCAACCATCTGCCTTACCTCATCAAATGGGCAAGGTGAAACTTCTCAGAGTCAGTCTTCTGGGTTTTTATTTTTTAGGAAAGTGTTTTACATAGAGTATTGTGATCTTTACAGGTACACATTTTTTATTGTGCTGTACCCTATGGGAGTGTCGGGGGAACTTTTGACGATCTACGCCGCGCTTCCATACGTACAAAAAACAGGGCTCTACTCCATCACCTTGCCTAACAAGTACAACTTCTCCTTCGACTACCACACCTTCCTCATCCTCATCATGATCTCCTACATCCCCTGTACGTTTTAACTTTTAGACTGAGAGATTACACGTCATATTTTCTCCGAATGCTTTGTTTTGAAATCTTCCATCCGTAAATAGTCCGATTCCTCAGTTGATCTTGTGTAGCAAAACCTCTGGAAGCTCATTCTTGTGCAGTGAATGAACATCACTGTTCCTGTTAATGACCGTCTTTGTCTGTGTTCCTCAGTATTTCCTCAGCTCTACTTCCACATGATGCGCCAGAGGAAGAAAGTTCTGGGTCACATGGACGAGTACAGCAAAGTGGAATAACACGGCCCGCGGTGCGCCTCACACAGCAGACTGATCAAGCAAACGGAAACAAGCGCATAACCTTTAAAAGCCACACTTTACAGATTTTCAAAAAAGAACACAAGGCCGCCTTGTCGGAAAACAGGCCAGATATGCAGAATGTTTGTTAATACTGTTTTGGTCAAGAACTGTACTACACTAATGGCTTTTCCTCAGTTTAGAGGGAGGGGAATGCTGTTACCATACTAATACATCAGCTACTGTGTGACATTTTTATTTTATTTTGAATTCTAAAATTACTGACCAAATATTGTAGCAAATCTAATTCAAAAAAAGGGCAAAAATACAGTTAGTTGCATCTGGTGGTTTAAACCAGAAGAAATGTCCCATAATTCTCCTGTGTTGTGTGTTCTGTACACTGTATTTCAGACAACTGAATCTAGTTGACTTAAATATCACTCAACTCATTCCTTTTCTTTAGATTTGAGTGCGAGTCATAGCTCAAACTGTACTTGTATTCTAATATTCCACACTGCTTATGTTTCCTTCATGATTACTGTTAGTATTTTCTTTCTTTTGTGCTGTGTTTCTTAAAGGAGCAATGTTAATCGGTTGTTTTATTCAGTATTGGATCTATGTTGTTGGTTTGTGGCCGTTCGCTCAGAAAAGAGGTGTATCGCCCAGTGAAATTGGCTGAGTTGCTGGGTTCGGACCTCGCAGTCAAAGCTACTAATGTACTAGATGTGCATTTCTGTCATAGAAGGAGATTGCAGCTGACACTTTAGGAGCTTTTACAGCTGGTGATGATGTGGAAGTGTTTGGCAGGGAGACGAGAGGGCCATGGGAGCACATGCTGGGCAGAAACGAACACAAGCCTCGGCTAATGGGGGCCAATTGGATTTGAGTGCCTCCTGTCATGCTTCTCCAATGAGTAAAATCTAATAATGTGGAGAGAAAGCTGGGAGTCAAAACTTACTTAACGCTTCATTGCCCATCTACCTAATTGTGAACAGCCAACTTGAGCCCTTTGCCAAGCCGATTCATGAAAATATTAGCATGGGATGGATGCTGGTGAAAAGCTGGAGTGCGCCTTTGAATAACACTGCATGTAAATGTGGTGTGGCTGTACCTTGGTTAATAGAAGCATGACCCTTAACTCAAATTAAAACGCCAACATTGTTAAGCTTTTGATATTAAAGATCTGCATGGGTCCAGCAAACTTTGTATGAATAGTAATACGATGATATATATTTACAATAAACCATAACATGGGAAGCAAAGCTAGTTTGTGCTGTCAATATATATGCAGGATATATGCCTCTATAAAATTAAACGCACTTTCTTCCTCTTATTTTAGTATTTAAAATGTAGTGTAATTATAAGGATTATGTCTGTTTAGATTCAGGTTATTTTAGTGGTTACCATGTTCATTCCTCCTTCACATGATGGCAGTAGAGATCTATTCCAATAAGGTCTGATATATTTAAGCTGCTCCAGTTTAAATATGTACACACATATATATATTATGTAAAAGCTATTGTAATATTTTGTACTTTGGGCTATAAAAACAGTCAAATACATTAAACTTATTTAGAGTAACATTCCCCTAAAAAAATATTGATGGTTTAACTTAAAAAAGTAAGTAAACTGGGTTGCTTTAAATTTTTAAGTTGATTGAACTGGAAAAAGTGAGTTGATACAATGGAGATTAATTTAGTCATCAGAAACTCAAAATAATAAGTTATCTCAACTAAATAAATTATTATAAAGTTGATTTGACAAAAGAAAATATGTTGTGATAACAAATCTTGAAAATATTATTTTACAGCGCATCTGAATAATTATTAACTGAATAATAATAACAAATTATTCATTTGTAGAATAAGAATTAATAAATATATCTGGTGTTTAAAAATATATAATTTATAAAGCAATTTTCTTTTTTGAATCCTCATTTTGAATTTCATTGGAACTTTAGCCCTAAGCTTGCATTCATTTTTTGACACTGATGTGCTTGTTTTTGTTGGGTTTTTTTTTGTTTTGTTTTTTGAAAGGTTTGTAAAGCCGAATGAACACAATTATATCCTTCCTGATATTATATAAAATAATTGGTAATGCTTTAACAAAGATTTATAAATACTGTAAGAAATGAGTTGCTCATTGTCATTTAATGCATTACGTTATGCATTAATGTAACCGTGTAAAGTGTTACCAAATAATTAAAATCTATAAAATATAAAATCAGCTTATCTAATACATATATATAATGTTTGAAATCTGAGGTCAAGGTTATTCAACAATCCTATCTTTGTCGGATTTTTAAAAAAATGTAATTGACACAATTATATTTCAGTTTTTAAAGTCTGAAAAATAATTCTGTTGAGTACTCAGAATTAAAACGTGAAAAAATAGCTTAAAAGCAAATTTCCTTAGGGTTTGTATCTCAGCATCTCATCCGTTTAAAGGGTGGGAGTCATGGGACTCATGAAAAAAACAAGGAGGCATGACTCTGCTGATTGCAAACTGATCTTTTGTCTTCTCAGACTGTCACAAAGCTCAATTCACTTCACACGTCACAAGGGTGGATGCAGTTGAGCACGATGATGAAGACGAGTACAATATTCCAGAATATACAATCTTTATTTACACATTTAAAACTTCAGAAAACACAATAAAAGACGCTTATAACGTGAACTGAGAATTAAAAAACTGAAACAGAAAAGTAGCCGAAAGCCGCCTTTCCACTGCCCACGACATTCACATACGATTGTCGCATTTTGCACCCATGTGTCAGTCGCACGGAACGAAATTGGTCGTGAAGCAACAGTTCGGCTGTTAAATTAATGATTTTAATGAATGTAATGCATGCATGAATATATATCCACACAAAACAAATGACCCTCGATACATCGAAAATAAAAACATATAGGCCTAGTAGATTTTAGCTAATCGATATAAATATTAGGCCTAATAATTATTAAAAAAAATGTCCGCTATAATTATTAATAACCATCATTTTGCAGAAATAGCATTGAATAACATTAAAGAGTTAAAATATTGGTAATTCTAGCCTTGCGCTCATAGTTTTGTTTATAGTTTTGTTTAGAATAAATCACATCCGGTCGGCCGGTCACATCCGGTCTATTCGCATGAAGTTCAAGGGTTAGTTCACCCAAACTAAAAAAATTTGTAAATTGGAGAGGTGGATCACTGCTACATATACCTGTAGGCTCCTAAGGGATTGAAACTTGACGGCCCAGAAATTCATTGAAGAAAATAAATTTAAAAAACTCTTTACGTTCGATTATCATGAAAACAAATCTCAGAGAACAATTGACTAGGTACCGATGTTTTATTAGACCAAAGGTTCATTGTTTGCCTGAGTTCTCCTTTAAGTCATTAATTACTCACCCCCATGCTGTACCAACCCCGTAAGACCTTCGTTTGTCTTCAGAACACAAATGAAGATATTTTTGATTCAATCTGAGAGGTGGATCACTGCTACATAGGCTCCTAAGGGATTGAAACTTGACGGCCCATAAAGTCATTAAAGAAAATGTTTAAATATTCCATGTGACTACAGTGGCTCAACTATAAGTTTATCAAGCGACGAGAATACTTTTTGTGTGAAAAAACAAAAATAACGACTTTATTTAACTACTCCATTTCTTTCTTGTAGGCCTGAGACGAGAGTTCAAGAGATTTCCACGACGCATGCTCAAGAATTGCGATCTTCTTCAACTCTACTTCAGTTCAGTTCTCGCGCATGCGTCGTGGAAATCTCTTGAACTCTCGTCTCAGGCCCAGAAGGAAGAAATGGAATAGTCGAATAAAGTCGTTATTTTTGTTTTTTTCACACAAAAAGTATTCTCGTCGCTTGATAAAATTATAGTTGAGCCACTGTAGTCACATGGAATATTTAAACATTTTCTTCATTGACTTTCTGGGCCGTCAAGTTTCAATCCCTTAGGAGCCTATGTAGCAGTGATCGCTTTACAGGCAAAATAGCAGTGAGCACACTGGGTGTGAAGCTAGCGAGTGTTTTCACTTCATTCATGGAACTTGATCTTGTTTGAGCTGAGCTCAACTTCCATATGAACTGAAAACGCTCGGTGTGCTCCACTTGCGCAGCGCCAGTTTGTGCCATACTGGTGTACACGTGCCGTCAAACAGTATGGCGACGGCAAGCGTAGATTTTGACTCATTCAAATCGGAACTGGCGGAATTTTGACTTTCTGACTATAGACTAATAATAATCACCACCGTGAGAAGCACCAGTCACCTACAGTAAACGGGCCCTGCTGTTTAAAACGTGTATCGCAATTCGTTTAACATTTCAACCGACTTGAACGACTTGAACCGACACATTTTTATCGATTTTCAACCGGTTGCGATTGAATCGTTACATCCCTAGCCCTCACTGATGAGTGCTGGCACATAAAACAGAACATAGAACATAAAATAACAATGTAAAATCAGGCCTGTTCCTCTCTTGATCTTCACTGTTGTCGCACCTCCTTTATGCTTCCGCTCATCCGCGAGAGATGCGAGACCGGTGGGTCTCACAAGTGTCGTTCATTATCACTCACGCCATGCTCGCCACAACATTATTTTAGCAACATGACAAGCCAGTGAATTAGGTTTCAATTGCTGCTTTGCACAGTGCATGCGTGACATTTTATCAAATGTTACGCGGGAGTTTTGACACCGAGTAAATGGGATCTGTCTAACTCTTTCTTTTTTCGAAAGAAAGAATTATTTTTCTTTTTACTTTTACCCATCTTTGTTTATGAGCAGGTGTCAGGTGTTGAGATATTGGCAGTTTAGGTTGTTTCTCCGCCATTAGCACAGCTGCGGCACACCGCAATCTTGAGTTTGAACTCGAGTACATGAGTGTGATTGACACTGCTAAGACATTCCTCCTGTCTCTGATTGGGTGTTTCTGACTTTTTACAAAAGTTACCTACAGCAGCTTTAATGTGATCCTGCATATTTAAAATTGGAAATTTGTCAATAGACATGGGATGATAAAAAAATATATAAAAAAATAAAAACATTGGAAAAACAACTGTCATGTCAGTTGCATCATTGAAGAATAAGAATGACTTTATTTATTTACCTTAAAAAAAATATTCCTGTGCACATTATTCACATAAAACATCCGGTTTGAATTTTTGGCATGTCTGAACTTCAGTGATTAATATACTTAAATTGGGGTCATTCCTCGTCAAATCAACCACATTTTTGGAAACTTCCCAGGCTCAAATTTTCCATTTTGTTAGGCTTTTTTTGATTTTGTTTATCTTTTCACCATCATTATTTTATTTTTACACAGAGAGTGGTAGGTCTATTAGTTAAATCGGTTGACTTTAGCAATCTTTGTTGCATTATATATATATTGTATATCCAAAGCAACTTACAATATTGAAAATATTTATAGGCCTATATAACCTTGTATGTTGAGCAAACAGCTTTCTCCCTTCCACAGGGTTGTGTAGCTAGACCCGCCCACTTATCCAAATCACTGTATCGCACTGACACATGGGTTGACCAATAAAATATTCGATTGGGAACTTGTGCAACGAACTATCCAATAGGATCGTACATAAGGCGGGGCATAAAGATCATACTTGGTTGAATGGCAATACAAAGACAAGAAGCACCAAAACGGCTGATATAACGCTTAATCAATTTTGTGTGCTTCGGTCTTGAGAATTTGCAGGGAAAGGACGTGCAGCTCGTCCGTCACAGTCAACACGCATCTCTTTTCGAGCAGGGCGGATTCGACGCTCCTGTCGCGTGACAATTCATCTCTCCTCATCTATACGCCAGCGCTGGTGATGTTGCTGCCACTGCATCAAGACCTTTGGAGATACCTATCTGCACAGCACGGATGAAGACTCCTTCGCTAAAGGACACTTGTGAGGTCATCTTGGGGTGACGCAACTTACCATGCAAGGAGCGTTGGAAAGCTCAGGTTTTCACAGCAATCGTGATCATGTAATCATCTAGTGGGCTGCGACCAAATATTCACAGGTGTAGCTTGTGTGGATCAATGGATCAATGCATCAATGCATACGCACCATGGAGTCGTACTCTGCACGGTCGTCTCTTATCACATCACACTTTTTCGGACACTATTTGCCCCTGTCACGAAAACGTGGAGATCTGGCGTGACGGGTGTAGTGTCAGTTCTTATTGATTTGGACTAAACAACGCAGTTTTAAGAAGTGTGCGAAACATACTTCAAGTGGGGTCGTCTATTTGAAACGAACTTTTTTTGTTGAGAGAAATAAATAAATAATCAGCTAAATTATTAAATGTAAATTTAGTTGGGGGCACATTTTTTCGAGGTAACGTTACAACTCGTGCAAACGCAAACTGTCATCTGGCGCCACTAGCACAGTAACGTCAGTTATCTAAAATACTTTTTTTTTTTTTTTAAAGCTGAACACTTAAGTTGTAACACACATGTGATATATTAAAGTGATACATAATAGTTCTTGTCATGTTTTATGGACCTATATCGTACGAAACTGAAGGCTCGCGAGCAGCTTACTGTTGTTATGGTTACCTCATCTAGCGAACGCGTCTTCTGTATATTTGTCGACAGGTGAAAAAAAACGCTCTCTGATTAACTTATCAAACTTTTATTTAGTGCTGAAACTTTGAAACCTACATAGGCTAGCCTATACTGTAGCCTATACATAGCCTACGTGCGTGCTTTCATTACGTTCACAATCTTTTTTTCTTTTCTTTTCGCTGGGGGCTTGAGCCTCGTAATTTATACCCAGAGGTGGTTTGTGTTTTGAAATCTATGAATTGAAATGTTGCTCACAATTACTCCCCGTTTACGTCCTCTAATGTGCTCTAGCCACATGGGGCTTTGTCCCAAATGACTAGGCTACTTTGTATAGCCTATTTAATTATTTAAAGACCTCTATGTATTTATACTAATGTAAAAATAGCAAAATGCGATTCTCTTTCCCAGCGAGTTTTTACTTCAATAACTGTTCTCATTTCACACTAGCCCTAACGTTACTTTATTAAAGCAGAATGCGAAATGCTGCAATGAAAAACTCTAAAGGGCCAGTTTTACTAGCTCCTTTTTAATGAGATCCACGTGTGGAACTAACTTTGATTTTCTTTCCTTGTTTTGAATCACCAGCTGACAGCAACGTTGTGTCTTAAATCGGCTAAATAAATGTAGTAATATAATAGCCCATCCCTAAAATAATGACTTTAACACACCCTCTTTAGTGTAAAAGCGATTTAGCTATTTGGGATCATAGACGTTTGTATGTTTGTTTATAAAGTACGAATAATTCGATGACGTTTAGTGGTCAAATTTTGAAGAAAAAAAAAGAAGCTGTTATCTGTTATTATCTGTTTGGGTTTCGGCTCTTCTTGCACAACAAAAACACCAACATTCGTGGCGTGGAAATCTATTATAACTTGATAAGTATAGGCTAACAATAGTGGTTCTACATCGTTGGATATTATGCAAACAGCTACTAAGCCGCTGTTGCCATGGTCACCTCCTCAAGCAAAGGTGATTTGATATCTGTTCTCGAGCGCAGACTGACAAACTTTCGTGGCTACTGAAACATTATTTGAAAACACTGCTGAAACGTTGTTTGAAAACACTGCTGAAACGTTTACGAAACAAACTTGTAAGACTCCCGACCTTTTCTTTGAACTAAAACCTCAGTGGTTTGCACGCTGAAGTCTTAAATTGCTTGTAGTAGCCTAGTCGAGATCATGTCCAGATCTAACAGCGTGAGCCCACCCGGCGCTGGCGCTCCTGTGTTGAGGGGAGGGACGGAGCACAGATCCGCTTGGGGCGAGTCTGAGTCCGTGGCGAACGGATGTCCATACTCGGCCAGATCCTCCTGCAAAAAGCTCATACGGTCCAACAGTCGGTGGAGAGAGGACGATGACTTCGAGCTACAACCAGGCCGAGCCACGACCACTGTCAGCCGGGTTAGTTTCAGATCCAAGTCTGCTTGGCAAGAACACGGAGAGGAGAGTCGCAACAATAACCGCTCGTCCCCGAGGTGCTACCGAGATGGAGAAGTGAGACCCAAGTCCGTGGAGGTGGGTTTGGAGGACAGAAGAACCAAGTCCAAGCCAGAGGAGGAGCTCATGCCTGAAGTTAACTTTTCCATGAGCGCGTGCTGCAGCGGCGTGATGCAGATTTTCAAATCCAAGAAGTTCCAGTCGGAGAAGTTGGAGAGGCTTTACCAGCGCTACTTCTTCCGACTCAACCAGAGCAGTTTGACGATGTTCATGGCCGTTCTTGTGCTGGTGTGCGCAGTGATGCTGGGGTTCCACTGCGCTGGAGGAGTGTGTCGGCTCACTTACGTGGTGGTTTTCTCCGCGACCATCGTGCTCATCCTCACGCTGATTGTCTTGTGCAACAGGAACGGCTTCCATCAGGATCACATGTGGATAGTTTGCTATGTGCTCATTTTGGTGGTGCTGGCTGTGCATGTGATCGGTGTGCTCCTGGTGGAGCCGCGGAGCGCGTCTGACGGCATCTGGTGGACCGTGTTTTTCATCTATGTCATTTACACACTTTTGCCGGTGCGGATGAGAGCGGCGGTCATCACTGGAATTATACTGTCTGCCATACATGTGCTGGTCTCGTGGAAGTTGAACGAAAGGGACGTCTTTTTGTGGAAACAGGTGAGTCATGTGCTTTCATTACTTTATTGCTTGGGTTTGAAGTAATCCCTTATTTATTTATTTATTTATTTATTCATTCAGTCATTCATTTAGGCTACTTGAATACGCATGCCCAGTCAGTGGTTGTCATTTGACCGTTAGTGATTCGATGAGTCTATTTAGATACACAATTCCCTGTGGTAGCCTACTCTTTTCTGTCAACAGTTGTGTAAACAAGAAGTTAGAAATGAGAATTTATTCAGGTCGTTCATTTTTGTCCCTCTGTCAATGAAGATTCCGAATGAAGTCAAAGCATCATGCTAGAAGAATCACAGCAGGGACTGACAGCCAGTCTGGATAAGGCTGTTTGAGGGGAGCGGAGTGACACATTTCCCCTCACCTATTTCAAGTGTTCTGTAATAACTTCGCTCCAGCGCCACTCCATATTTTCCGTTTCCCATTCCCTGCTCTTTTAGAGAGTTAATTTATGGAATTGCTTCAGTGTGTTAAATGATCACAACTACTCACGTGCAGTGTTGTGCAACATGCAGAAAGTTAACATTTTTTAACATTTATTTAATTTTCTGCAATTAATTTACTGCACTGTTCAACTGCTTTTAACTATTTAGTTCTCCATCTGTTGAGAATTTCAGAAGACCTTTAGAAGAATTGCCAAACATTTCAGTTAAAGTTTAAGAGTTTGTTTATACATGGGGGAAAAATACTTATGAGTCTGAAATAATGTTTATTAGTGAACGCAGGTCTTTATGAAAAGCACTTCGATGTTCTTGGTTAATTCTGAAAGCAACAAAAGTTGATGACTCACACTTGTTTTCTCTGCAAAGCCTCTAGTTAAGCACTTAAAGGTATGTTTCTTAAATTCTGTTCAGTTTCTCTCTTTTTGGTTGACTTGGTCAAGATAAGTTGAGTGATGGAGATGTGTCAATGAATGCAGTCTCTTTGTACTAATGTTGTAGTGACAACCTGTGCAGTAACATTTGGCAAAGAAGGAAAACATTTTAAAATGCAATCAAATACAAAGATCTCACTGTAAAAAATATTTTCAAGATTTGTTATCACAACATATTTTCTTTTGTCAAATCAACTTTATAATAATTAATTTAGTTGAGATAACTTATTATTTTGAGTTTCTGATAATTAAATTAATCTCCATTGTATTAATTCACTTTTTCCAGTTCAATCAACTTAAAATTTTAAGGCAACCCAGGTTACTTAATTTTTTAAGTTAAACCAACAATATTTTTTTACAGTGTGTAGTCATCACAACATTTTTTCTTTTGTCAAATCAACTTAAATAATTTATTTAGTTCAGATAACATATAATTTTGAGTTTCTGATGAATAAATCATTCTCCTTCATTGTATTAACTCACTTTTTCCAGTTCAATGAACTTAAAATTTTAGGGCAACCAGGTTACTTACTTTTTTAAGTTAAACCAACAATATTTTTTTACAGTGTAGCTTATAATAACTGCTGCTTTTAACATCATGCGTTCAATTTTGAATTACTTAATTATTTTCCAATGATTTATTAATATAATTTTTCAAAGTAGGTAATGTAAACTCTGTATACTTAACCATGCTTAGTTGCAATCTTTCGACTTATTACATTTTATAGTAAATGTGCTTTAAACTCCCCTGTCTTCAGATATAATTGTTTTCATTGAAAATACAGACTCTTTGAATGGTGTGTGTGGGAACGGACTGTTGTGTTTGTTTCTCTTTCCACAATGCTGTTGTCTTTAGCAAATCAGATCTCTCTCTGTTTACATGAGACCTAGCAGGACTCTCCAATAATTGTTGTTTTATAGAAATCCTGGGATGAAAGATGTATTAGGAGTGCTCTCATAGATGACTAGCCTTCATCTGGCTGTGATGATCTGTGCTGTCCTGCTTTTTATGAAGTCAGAGTTTTTGGCGAATGAACGACGGCTTTAGAGATCAGGTCACTTTTATTGTTCCTCGTTTGAGATTTAAAGGCCGTTCCGGGTTCAAAATTGATTAGTCTTTTTAGGATTTTCTTTTTTTTTTTCTAAAAGCATTGGGAATCCACTTTTGGAGGTGTTAGAGCTGGCACAAATAAAGTCCTGATGAGTACAGCATCTAATTATTTGCAACTTCTAGGAGCAAATTCTTGACATTTTGCAATTATTTTTAGTTGTATTTTAAATTCCACAAGTTGCCTTCCACACCATCTTTTCATTACAGCAGAACCAGGCTACTAGAAAAATGGCAAGGATAAGAAGACTTCAAAGGTGCTTTTCAGGATTGTCTTACAGATCATTGACAGTTCACAATCTCCAGCTCCATTTCCCCCGTGTGCTTCATTAAAGCTTGAGGTGGGACTTAGTTAGAGGAACTAGCTTCCCCTAGGGGGGAAACAGAAGAGGTGGACAGTCCTGCATGGCACATCTCTAGTTGTAACATGGTTTGTGGCTGCTTTAATCGAATTGCCCCACTCTATAACATGCAGACTCACTGGAATTCAAAACAGATGTCCTCCGAGTCCTTCTTGAAAGAACTGCTATTAATTTGCCTTTCTGAGTCAACCCCTATGGAAGCATTAAAGTCACCATCAAATCAGAATTGACAATTCTTTCTTTTTTATGGAATACTGCAGTAATTATAAGGCGCAGTGGATAAGACAGTGTGAGAGACCCAGGTTCGAATCCACTGTGGAGACACCAATGTGTCCCTGAGCAAGACACTTAACCCCTAGTTGCTCTAGAGGCGTGCGACCTCTGACATATATAGCAATTGTAAGTTGCTTTGGATAAAAGCGTCAGCTAAATGAATAAATGTAAATGTTATATGGAATGAATGGGGAAGGAAAGATTATTAAAACTTCCGTTTCATTCTGACTTTAACCTTTCAGCAGGCCATGCTGACTACGTGCTCTGCAGAGCGACTCGCTGTAGAAAGCACCAGCTCTAGGGACTAATGCAGAGCTCACACACAAGATCTTTTGATATACTGTCAACTTTTGCTGCACTGTTACATTTTCTGTGTACTAAATAGTGTTGACGCATAAAAAAAATATGACATGCAATATGTCTTTAGTCTCTACATGAAAATATGAGTAGGAAAGTAACACTGTTAAATTATCAATAATGCATTAATGTTTTGTAAAAAGAAACATCAAAAAGGAATGGCTGCATGAGTTATGCACTGAAACAGGTATTGGTTTAACGATAAACATTTTATTGTTACATTTTCACACCGTAGACCTAAGCATGTACACTCACCTAAAGGATTATTAGGAACACCATACTAATACTGTGTTTGACCCCCTTTCACCTTCAGAACTGCCTTAATTCTACGTGGCATTGATTCAACAAGGTGCTGAAAGCATTCTTTAAAAATGTTGGACTATATTGCTAGGTTAGCATCTTGCAGTTGATGGAGATTTGTGGGATGCATATTCAGGGCACGAAGCTCCTGTTCCACCACATCCCAAAGATGCTCTATTGGGTTGAGATCTGGTGTCTGTGGGGGCCATTTTAGTACAGTGAACTCATTGTCTTGTTCAAGAAACCAATTTGAAATGATTCAAGCTTTGTGACATGTTGCATTATCCTGCTGGAAGGAGCCATTAGAGGATGGGTACATGGTGGCCATAAAGAGATGGAGATGGTCAGAAACAATGCTCAGGTAGGCTGTGGCATTTAAACGATGCCAGTTGGCACTAAGGGGCCTAAAGTGTGCCAAGGAAACATCCCCCACACCATTACACCACCACCACCAGCCTGCACAGTGGTTACAACAAGGCATGATGGATCCACAATTCTCATTCTGTTAAACGTCAAATTCTGACTCTACCATCTGAATGTCTCAATAGAAATCGAGATGCATCAGACCAGGCAACATTTGTCCAGTCTTCAACTGTCCAATTTTAAAATTGTAGCCTCTTTTTCCTATTTGTAGTGGAGATGAGTGGTACCCGGTGGGGTCTTCTGCTGTTGTAGCCCATCCTCCTCAAGGTTGTGCGTGTTGTGGCTACACAAATGCTTTGCTGTATACCTCGGTTGTAACGAGTGGTTATTTCAGTCTGGCACCAACAACCATGCCTCACTCAAAATTGCTTAAATCACCTTTCTTTTCCATTCTGACTTTGGAGTTCAGGAGATTGTCTTGCCCAGGACACCCCTTGAAGCAACTGCCATGTGATTGGTTGATAATTGCATTAATAAGAAATTGAACAGGTGTTCCTAATAATCATTTTGGTGTTTTAAATATAGGCTTTTTAATATTATGTGAGTGCCTGGACGTATGTATTTATTTAACGAAACATCCACTATATTTATGTGTCAGTTTGTATTGTGTTGTGAGGAAGTAGGCAATCTACTTTATTGTAGATGTTGTTTGGTTACAATACTTGAAGGTATTACAAGTTTCAAGAGTAGGCTTACAACTATATGTGTAAGCTCTGGGAAAGTTGACGTTTTTTATTTTATCTTTTAAAATGCAGCCGTAGGAGTGAGTTTGTGTTACCTCTCAAGATCCGATTCTGACATGTCTCTTATAAGTGCAGACCCTCAATTGTGCTTCTTGTATCTTAGCAACCAAGGCCTGTTCTTGCAAACAACATCTAGAAGCACTCAGGTCTTCCCTGTGAGAGGACCCCTGCTTTTCATCTCTTAAAGGCCATGGTGCAGGTTTTTTTTTTTTTCTTTTTTGGCAATTTTCTAGTTGGTAATAAACATTTAAACAGTTATCCATTGTATCTGATGTTGTAGGGTACTCAAAAATTAAAATATAACACGGAAAAGTGGGTGAAATGTTAGCTTTTAGCTAAAGCTAAGCGAGGATTCTTATTTCTCCCACAATGCATTCCATGACGTCACATGAGGCACTCGCTGACTGTTGGACGACAGACAGCCCCGCGGCCCGCCTACCATTTTGAGGGAGAGTGATACGAGGAGTTTAAGTTAGCTAGCTAGTGAAGCAGTGACACTGACAGTGACAGATTTATAAGTAAATATAGATAGATAGATCTTCCGAAGCTGGGTGCAGTTTGTCAAGATTAGGCGAGCAGATTTTTCAGCTAAGTTAACGTTAGCTCTGTCGCCGCCTACTCGAGAATATGCAGCGCGCATTTCAAAGAGGAGGATAACCACTCAGGGGATGCCAAGATGGTCTTACTTCACTTGGATTAAAGAGTGAGAGGAGTGCTAAATTACTTCCAACCGCACTGCCGTCTGTGAACGCAAACCTCTCTGCTTGCCCTGTCCCGAGGTCGAGAGACACCGTCTACCGCAAGCGAGAAATTGCCACGGTAAGCATCATGCTAACGTTAATGTTTACAAGCTGCATGTTAGCTAGCTCTGTGTGTATTTTGTATAACTACCGTGTTCCCTTTGACATAATAGCCTCCACTACAAGCACGATCACTATGACATTAGAAGAGCATTTTTCGTGATTCACGAATTTGAGCCAAAACAAAATTGCCCAGAAGTAAATGTCCATATTGTCATGAAGGCTTCGTGGCTAGTGTTTGGATCAGTGGTGATGATCATCAAGCGGCTTTCGCAATCGTGTGTTTGCGTTTTGTTATAACGTTAGACTGCTACTGTTCTCTTTTTCATTGACCGTGTCGTCAGGGCTGTAGTGGAGGCTAAATGCAGTTTACCTGCTGAAATTAGGTCAGAAACAGTTTATCCACTTTTCACTTCAGAGTTTAGCTAAGTTACCTCTCAGTAATTCACTACCTCACAGAGTTTATGTTACTAACTTTACCACGTGTATTACCACTAGTATTGTATAACATTTAATAGTAACATTCAAATCATCAAATATGGTCTGCATTTTTTTATTTATTTATTTTTTAAAACATTTAGTAGTGCATATCAGGGTCCAATGGGTAATCTCCCTGGCAATCTCATAACATTCTGTTTACTGTTTATGTTTGCTATAATTCATATGCAGGACAATTTCATGTTTTTCTATTAGTGGCAATGATCTTTATACAGTATTATTATTATGTCTGCAGGTTATGCAACATCATTAATGAAGGCCCTTCGGGAAAGCTACACCAATTCACCTGCGGCTCTTCGAGAGGTTAGCGCCAGTTTGTCCCCATCGCCACATCCTTCAAACAGGTTCCTGAGGAGGCCGTCAGCCTCTACCTAGCCCGGCAGTCACGCTTCAAGAACCTAATTTCACATTATTTTCTTTCCACAGACAAGTCCAATGGTTTAGTTGTATTTATTTATTTTAGTTGTTAGTTATCTTCTTTCCTTCTGTCCCTGTCATCTCATTTAGTGGTGGTTTCCTGCATTCTGCATGTTTTGTTTTTTTCTTTGTGTGCTGTTTCTTTGGTTTTACTTTGCACAAAATCATTACTTTTTTTTCTTAGGCTATTGATTCCCGTGATCTTGTTTATAAATTCCGATTCAGCCATTAGCCTACCTTCGTAATCACGCAAAGCGGTCTGGAGAGGCGATCTGTTCAGAATTACAACCAACATAAAATATAAGTGTGCATGTACAAATTTGCAGTAATGTTCGGTAAAAATAAACTTTATTAACATAAAATGAAACCGGAGAGATAGTTAATGATCCATAACTGTTAACGGGATTAATTTCAGCATGGCTAATGTGCCCCTTCTTCCTACCCTAATCATGGACTAAACCATATCAGAAAACACATACAAATACATGTATTTGATGTACAGTACACATGTATATTTGAATCACACATAACTAACCTTAACCCATAAACATAATATATTAATTGTGTGTGTGTGTATATATATACACACACACACACACACACACACACACACACAATTCATTTATTTAAATGGGTTAGGGTTATGTGTGTATATATGCATAGGCCTACATACATACGTGAATATATATTATAAATAATATATACTTCAGGTTACCATAAGTTAGCTAACTTTAATGAAGAGTTGGTCATGTAAGCTATAGCTTGCTGCAATTAATGCATTATCTTCCAATAAGCATTAACTAAAACTGGCTACATAAAATGTACTGACTAGATTCACGAGAGGTCGGCTAATGTGTGTAAAAGTAAAACAATACAGTAATTTCATTAATTTACCAGCTCCACGACACGCGTTAGTTCCTCATTCCAGAGTTCCTATGGCGGTCTATGGGAGTGTCGTAACTCTCTCTCTCTATGGCTCTCTGGACTACACTATTACAGGCTAAAGATTTTTTGTATAGAGTTGTTTACTTAAAACCTGTGTCTTTGTTCAGTAATCTTTGTCCTTGTTCAGAAAATGTTTAGTAACCATTACAAGCAATGCCAATAAACTGTTTTATTCTTATAAAAATTCATGTGTTCTGTGTACTTTATAACATTTTGAGGGCAATTGGGTGATGACAACAGAATAAGCAATTATATTTTTAAATTAATTTTCATCCAAACGAGGCGATTGAAAGCCCTGATAGGTCTGGTCACGACTTTGGAATTGTTGTCTGATGGTTGAAACCACACGAGAGGCTTCTTCTGCTCTTGCTTAAAACACCATAAGCCCAGCATATAGCCTGTCTGTATGCACTGTACTGGTATTGCCTAGGGATAAGTAGGAAAGATTCTTAAGTTTTAAACTCTGTAAGTAGGTTGGAAACGTCTCTGATTCATGTTTATTGTGTATGCAACACATCTCCTGTCACCTATAGCTGTTGTTCATGAACATACTCATGCGTGCTGGTTTGAAGGGGACCATTATCTTGCATGAAGTGTGAGTATGCTATGTGTAGCACAAATGGATTCAGGCATTATGCCTCATATCCAGAATGCTGGATATGTACACGTTACATCTGTATCAGTATATTTAAAGTAGCCTGCCTCCTCTGTATGGATAGAAAATTGTTATATTACAAGACACAAATTCAGATAGGCTTCTCAGAGCCTGTTTTATTACAGGTTTGAATGAATGAAATGTCTCTTCTGTATTAGAAAAATAAATATATAATTATTTTAGGTTTGAATGAATGAAATGTCTCTTCTGTATTAGAAAAATAAATATATAATTAAGAAATAACTAAAATAAATACCTCCAAATGTAACAAAAATAGCTCTCACAAACTTACAAAAACGAACTAACAAAATGTATCTAGTTTTCTTCCTCCTTATCCTGTTTTTCTTCCTCATGCTTGTTTGCCCATCTGATCTTTCCCAGAAGTTTTTTGAAAACCAGGACATTTTCATAATTAAAAAAAATAAAATAAAAACAGCCAGGACAGGACGTGAAAACAGAAAATGTCCTGGTAAAACAGGACTGTTGGTCACCCTAACCAAGTCTAAAGTCAGTGGCGCGTTGCGTGTACTTTCAGATGCTATTTTATCCGCATGCTTGCAGATACAGAGTGAACAACGCGCATACACATAGTAGATGATTCTCTCATTTACACAGATGCATTTTACTTTTTACAAATGATGCATTATTATAAGGAAAACTATTTAAACACGAGGGAAATCATTGTTGTGTTCATGATGACGATAGGAAATATAGGCATAAAGCATACACATTTGCCCAAATTGATATGCATAACCGAAGCTAATATGGGTGGGTTTGTCCCATCCCCAATGTCACTTATATTTCTTTTACAGCCCTGACGAGAACATCGCTCTTCTCGGCTTTGAACCGCGACTTTACTGTGAACCGATTCTGAAGCGCGCCGCTGCCTGCAGCCTGCAGCTGCGTCTGCCTCATGTGACGTCATCGCCGAGTCGCGTGAAAAATAACCGTCACTAAACAAAAACTACAAAAACGGGACTTTAACACCATTTTTGAGATATTTCTAACTTCATATACATATCTTAACTGCTTTATGTACCCATTAATCGACAGTAGTGTTTAACCTGCACCATGGCCTTTAACCACCTCCAGTGAATGTGCGATCTTACCAGAGGTTCAAATTGAGATAATTAAGGTGCAAGTGCCCCTGGTGCCGTGGGCCTTTTCTCTCTTCTCTCCCCCCTTATGTTGTTGTTTTTTTTTCCTTTTGTCAAGGTATATGAAGATAATCAAGCTCTGATGTGTGTGGGTGGCTGCTCTCTTAAACAATGGCTGCAGTATATGGCTTATAGTTATAATAGGTGTCTTATTTGTAGCCACATCTTGAGGCACATTACAAAGTTATTTACGTGTATATATATATATATATATATATATATATATATATATTATATGTCATATATATGTAAATAAGATGTCTTATTTGTAGCCACATCTTGAGGCACATTACAAAGTTATTTATATATACGACGTGTATATATGAAGAGTTCAGATGCAAAAGCCTCTAAGTGCCATTTGAAATTTTCTTCTAAAATGATCATTTTTTATCAAGCTTGTATATTTAAGTTCAGTAATTTCACTTAAATGGCAATGAAGATTACCTATTAATTGTCATTTAAGTGAAATTACTGAACTTAAATACACAAGCTTGATAAAAATGGTCATTTTAGAAGAAAATTTCAAATGGCACTTAGAGGCTTTTGCATCTGAACTCTTCATATATATATATATATATATATATGTGTGTGTGTGTGTGTGTGTATATGTAGATATGTGTATTTTGTATATCTATATAAATACACCGATGCATATATATGAAAAATATTATTTATATATAAAATATTTATATATAATATAAATTACATATAATCTATATACAGTATACATGAAAATATTTCTTAAGTATATACAAGCATGTGTGTGTATTTATGTATATGAAATAATTATACACAGTGCACCCACATATATTATGTAAACACAAACTTTTATTTTGGATGCGATTAATCGCGATTAACTAAATATTGATTTTTTTTTTTGTGGTTGCATAGCAAGTGCCAAAACCTTTACCAAGTTTTGTACCATTCAGAGGAAGTAAAAAATTATTAAAATGAAAATATTTTTGTCAACTGAGGGATATTACATACGTACATGCATGAATACATTAAATCAACAAAAACTTTTGTTTGTTAGATGTGATTAATCTATGTGATGGCATTTATACACACACACATTTAATATATATATATATATATATATATATATATATATATAGTTTAAGGGCTCTACTATACTATGCACAATAAAAGAGAAATAAACATTAAACACAGGATGAATGACGCTTTCTCAAACACACAATGACCCCAAACTACATTTTTAAAGGCGCTACTGTCAAACTGGGACACATTTATTGGGATTATTACTTAAAACACATTACATTGTTATTCAGGCCCTGTAAATTAAATAATATAAACAACAATATAAACAATGACAACAACAAGTCAATAATATAAACTTCACTTTGTTAAGAAGGGGTGCAGGGACCCAGGGACGTGCACAGGAATTTTGAGGGGCAGTTGCTCTGACCTGAAAAAAGGGCACCCCCCCCCTCCTCCCCCCTCACGGGCTATATGAAGGAATATATTCAGTTGAATTTGTCCCCTTCCAAATTGCCTTATCTGGCCGTGTTTATGTCCAAACGCAATGCCTCATCTTATGGTATTATAATTATTTATAAAGATTGCAAAATGTCAGAGATGAGACAAATGAGCAAAAGAGTTCTTCATATTGTTGTTTATTGTTTTTTAAATTATTTATTTATTTATTTATTTGAAAAGAAATAATCTGGATTGAATGGAAAAAACTCGAAAAAATAAAAAACGCTTAGATTTCGGGAAAAAATACAATTCTTTTTTTTTTTGCCAATCCTGACCTCCCCCTGCATGGGGCCCTAAGCAAAATTCTGCTAAGGGGCCCTCTACCTGATCTGTGATGCCGTGAGCCATGTAAACCATTTGCCATTGCCACTCAATACCGCCCAATACAATCCTCCCTCCTTAAACAAAACAGTCAAAGAATAAGTACAACAATATAGAACAGAATGAGGATCAAACAAACAATATTTACTGAATAAAGCATTTTTATAGAATGTTAAGATAACATTAACATTCACATAAGTGAATATTAACGTAAACATAAACAAGAAGAAAATAATAAAGTACAACCCTGAACTTTGGCTTTTGGGATTAACTTTGGTTCTCTCTACAGCCAGCCGAGCCAGGGTATTTTCGGAATCAATAGCCTATGATTTTTATTTATTTATTTATTTTTTTTATGCATGTTAAAGCAAATCTTGATTTATGGTTATTTACTGAGGGATTTGCGTTCATATTGACCAGAATGTCCATCTAATCATCATTTTAAATTCAATATAGCCTATAAATCAATAGTCAATCAATGTCAAATTGCCAATACATTGGTTTATATCTTGCATAATTAGTGCAGTTGTTTAGAGTTTTTAACTACACTGAGACTAGATAATCAGTGTCTTTATAATGTGTACTTTGATTGGAAGTGCCATCATTTCTCTGGTCTCCACATTTCTGCTTGAAAAATGCGAGTTTCATTTCGTGCACGCGCATATGAACGCAACACACGCGACGCGGTTATGTTTTCAGAGCTGCAGTAA